ACAAAAGGCAACAAGGGGAATAAATCGTATAACTGTGTTTAAGATCATGTGATTAACTCCAGATTTGAGCCATCGCAGGCCTTCAGACGGGTCAGATTCTATCCCCTTGTTCACACAGAGCGATGCCTGCCTCCATAAATAGTGTCATCAAAGTGAACAGGGCTGCCTCTGAAGTAACCTATTGAGTATGAACATGTGTGCTGGAGCCTGGCCCACACTATAAAGTACAAAAGAGAGGTGAGAGGAGAATTATATTTTAAACAGATACTTGCCACTGTTGAATGGACAAAGGAGATTTATTTGTTAACACTTAATTTAGACCATGTCTAAGTGCCACGTTTGTACGAGTATGAATAAGAACTAGCAACAACACTGTGAGGCAGAGGATAGGGCTGAGTTCAGAAGGAGCAGCTTAGTAACTTATTACACCTGCTGTGTGTAAAGTGACTCAGGATAATCAGAGTGAAACAACATGGGAATCACAGAAGTACAAAGATGCGCCACAGAGCAAAGAGAGCAAGCATGCAACAGATTAAGGAAACAGAAGCAGCACTAGTAAAATTGTAAACCTGCTTAGCGAAGAGGCTGTTGCTCTCAGGAGAGCAGGAGCCAGTTCAGGAGGCAGTTTTGCACAGAATATTGAAAGAGCGACAGTGTGGAGGAGGATGCTTTGGTAGCGGGTCAGCTACTTGGCTTGGCTTTTCTGTGCAACAATTAATACAATCCACAGACAAGATGTAAATGGACTCTGATAAAATTAGGTAAAAAGACAAGCAGTGCTTGGTAAAAGTAGGTAAAAAGACAATCTTGTTTGTCTTTAGCTCTCTAAACTGCCACATAATAAGGAATGGTAACCTGTAACTCCATGGTCTACGGTCCCTTCTTCTCTGCCATGTAAGAGGATCGCTAGTGCTGATCCCCCAAAGGGACTAAAGCATCCAACTGCTATAATGAGTTTCACAAGCCTTATTTTTGCCATTAAAAGCACTGAAGGGCAAAGTAAGGGTAAAGCTCTAACTACACCTCTAGGAGGAACAGCTGTGTCTAATCCAGTGCCTCCCTGTAAAGGAAAGTCTGTGGCAGTTTACTCTAAACTATAAACCATGGCATTTCAGGAGTGTTTGGAGTCCCCATGGTGGACCCTATGACTTCCATCAGTGGAGCGAGGTGGACAGCTGGAGATAGTAATTGCTTCACCCATTGCAGCTAAATCAGCTGTAGAACATGGCTCAGCCCCAGACAGTCGTTTTACAAGATCCGTAACTCAGTGTTTGGAAAGAGCGACTTTCCAAAGCCCCATAACAGCCAGCACGCGGAATGGGAAAATGATGAAGTGGAGAACATTTGAAGTCACATTTGTTTCTTGGAATACAGACACTTATCTGCAATCCTGAATTTCATGCTATGCAAGACATCAGTATGCATACATTTAAACAAATGACTGGGTATTTCTGTGGATCTAAGTTGTAGTCCTTTAATCCTCACTCTAGCAAATAAAACTTCCTTCATATGAGCAATGATTGTAGGCTCTGGCCAACAGTTTTAATGTCTTGGCCATTATAGTCACCTGGTTTAAATACAAGCATAGAAATTTGGAGTGAATTAAAGAAAATGGTAGCTAAGAAAGCCTCCATATGAACAAAGAAGAACTGGAGAAGCGTATTGTGGACATCTGGAAGGTCCTGTCTCCTATTTGCAAGAAATATATAAACAATGTTGTGAGGAGACACATCTGTAATAAAAACTAATGGTGAACAAACAGAATACTGCACTGAGCAGTTCAAGGGGAATCCTTTTATATTTTCTTTTTCCTTTGAGGCTTATGCTTTAAAAGCGTTGTGACTGATTAAAACGATTCCATTATATATTTACAATTGGTAATAAAATCATGGAAGTGATGGAAGTCTTTCCAGTCTTAGGAAAAGTACATTTTTAGTAGTATATGGAACAGAAAACATGGGACCCAGGCCTGTGCACAGCTAGGCAAGTGGCAGAGCACCCAGTTAATGCAGAGAAATACAAAGGAAAAGCAGTAGTACAAAGACATTTTTCTGTAATTTCTAATTATTTAAAATAAAATATTAAAGTCTCAAAGCCTGATTTCAAGTATTATTACAGACAGACAGCTAAGCTTACTCATATAAGTAGCTCCATTAATAGTATAAGTAAGAGTATGCAGAGTTATTTCTGAAATTAGTAACCTACCCAGTATATTCACTACCCTACCTACTCCATGCCACCCTTCAGAGCAACAAGAGAACATGCAGCTTCAGTTAAGGAGAGGGCTCCAGAGATGCTCCACATAGATGGATTTGAGAGAAACGCTGAAGAAAGATGGGCCTGCAGGTCTGGAAGTCTAGTTTGGTCTCCTGCTAACTAGAAAGAAAAAGAGGTCTCCCACAGACAGACCAAAAAGGGGACATTTGGGAAGAGCTCTTGGAAATATTTCGTTGTGTCTATCCAAAAACCTGCAAAAAGGCTTATTTCCACCCAACCAACACATAATTTCCCTCACAGCCTCCTTATTATAACAGTGGGAGAATATTTTCAAAGCCTGATGCATCACACAGGGTCATATCACATGGGTTATTCAGTCATTTTAAATCTCATAGTACATGAGGCTATAAATAGTAATAAAGATGAAGTGTGTAGATACAATTAATGGTTAATTTACTCTAAATTACATTTACTACATCATTAAGCTAAACATTTGTCAATATGGCAGTTATTTATGAAATAATCTTTCAAGCAAACTGCATACTTCAATTTGTATTTCTAAGTGGCCAGTTACAAACTACAGTGTGAAAATGGTAACAGTAAATGTTATGCACTATATCATCAGAACAGAGATTAGTCACAATTAAGTATTTAATACACTTTATATGTATTAGTTATTGCTATTCTTTTAAATGATAAAAAACTAAATATATATAGAAAAGCTTCCCTTGCTTTTTCTGACAGTAAATTACTTTGTAGTAATTAGTAGTATTTGCTCGTGCTCAGAAAGTCAAAGGATGTGCACTTTGCATTATCCATTTGTTTAAAGGGAGATTGATTGCAATCTAAATATAAAGGCAAGTTCAGTTGTTGCATTTCTAATAATTGACTCATACTTGAGTCTCTTTATGTGATAAACATGAACAGCTAATAATCAATAATATGGCAACACTGTGTACAGAACAAACAGGAACAGAAAAAAAGATCTGTCTGTACTCACATATGCCAAGCAAAATACAAAAGAAGAGCAAATCTGTGTGCTTTAAAGCTAATCTGTGTGCTTAAAGGTTATTCATAATAATTTTTGACATCCTGACATTACACAAAAAATAACCTTGCTAAAACGCCCTTGCCACCATACCCTATTTAGCTCAGTATTTATACTAACTAAAAACATTTGTTCTTAATCCTGGAATTTACCTATATTTATAGGTGATAGAAATGGCTCCCTTTATATATGTGCATGTCTTTGTGTGCATGTGCACGTGTGCACACACACACACATATATTTTAAGGTATACATTATATAAATATATATATACACAACACACTGAGTGTTGTGCATATGTGATATGTGCATATGTATAAATACATATTCTCTATGGAGTGGATTTTTCTTCACCTTCTGCATAAGCTGTGTCTCATTCTTTCCATTTTTTTTCTCATCTAGACGGGTGCAGGCTGGTGGCAGCTAAAAGCCAAGGTGCACAAGCTTCTCCTGCTCAGCCCACTTCTCCAGCCCAGGCAGACGCTGTGCCAGACTCGCTACCTCTCCTTTCCAAAACATCAGAGCTCACTCCAGTTCTTCCAGACAGTGAGGAAAAAACTCTCACAAGCAAACTGAAAAAGGTCTCTGAGACTTTCCCTGGATGACGTACTGTGCACTCTCAAAAATCCACACAGTATTTTCCAAATACCTTATTATTTTCGCTGAGATTTAGTGGAAAAGACCACTATTCCCTATTTCCAAAGGAACCTTTAGTGAAGGACATCCAACCTTTGAGGATTCTTCATTATTTCAAACACTGAACCTCCTGTTTGAACCACTGTTGCATTCTCTATGTAAGTCGACAGACTCACATATGCGAGGGTCGATATTCACAGAGCAAGAAGTGCCCGTCTTTGCTTTCTGTGAGCAGATTTTTTCCCAGCTCAGTTTATAATAGGACTAGATGATAACTGGCAAGCCTGCATCTCTGGCAAGAACTGCATCTGCACAAGAAGCTCCTCCATCTATGAGGCACTATAAAGCATGGAAGGAGCCCACAGCACACGCTCACACATCTCAACTGTTCCTAGTTTAGTAGGATAACCCAATGTTGTCCCCAAGGAACTGTAGTAGTTGCAGGATTTATATTGGCATAAAGTAGATTAAACATTTGCAATCTTTGAGTGTTCCCGGACCTTTATCTAGCTTTCCTGGAGGGGAACTTTCCTCTTAACAGAGGCAAACGCCAAGTCCCTACAGCCTCTCCTACGTTTTTGCCACCTACCTTTCTCACCTGAGTGACAACGTGTTGGCCCTGATTTGCCGTGAAGATCATTAACCTCACTGTCATCATGAGGAGCTCGACATTCCCCACGGCACTGTCCTAAGGGGAACCTGTCTCTCGCAACAGTGTCCCTCCACCCTAGGTTATCCATGTGGGACACTGACTAGATCTTGCTTTTAAAAGCCAGCCATTCATTCGCATGCCAAATCCCCAACACAGAAGAGCCTGATCTTCTCCATTGTTTTCCAAACGGCAGGCTAGAGGCAGGTTAAAATCTAATAGTAAGGAGCCTGCAGTTGGTGCAGTTACAGCTCGCGGCAGCACTGCCGTGGAGGACAGCGGGACGGTATCTCTTGCTCTGCAGTGCACTAGCAAAGAGGGTCGGGCTGGACGAGACCTCGAGGACCCAAGCTCAGTTTTCGGGTGGTCGTGGCGCCTCCATAGCTGCATTTCAGCCGCCCGCGGCACCTGGCAGCCGCAGCAGCCGGGAACAGACCTCTCAGCATTTACTGCCGGCGGCCTCTTGGCTGCCCGGCTCCCCGCGTGCCCTCTGCCCGCGCTCGGCCGTTAAGCGAAGAGCCGGAGGGGAGGGCAGAGCCGCCCACCCAGGCGACCCGCTCCTCCGAGAAGAGAGCGAGCCCTGCGCTGCCAGCCGGGCTGCGGAGCGCTCTGAACACAAGCTCGTTCTAAAAACCCACCCAAGGGCACAAGGAAGCTGCTCCCAGCGCAGGGGCAAAGCGGGAGAGCGCGGAGCCGCGCTGCTCCTGCTCGGCCTTCCCAGCACGGGCATCTGAGGTGACGTTTCGTGATTATCGCTCCCATCTTGGGGAACTGAAGCAGGGGAGAAGAGACCGCTAATCTCAGACGCTCTTAGGTTTAGCGAAAAAAAAAAAATAAAATTAAGGCGGAGTTTCTGATAGAAGAGAGCTCTGCTGTGCTCGTTTCTTTGGGGTTCATCGTTGCGACCCCCTGACTGCACTACCCAGTCATTGCAGCTCCTTGTTCACCTTGAGCAAGTGCTGGCACTTATCTGAGAGGAGTAAAACCGAGAAATACGGAAAGGGGC